GAATGTTCTAGCTGGAAGGTTGAAACCACCCCTAGAACAAGGAAGCTATTTCCTGTTCAGGTTCCATGAGGGCCTGACATTGCAGAGAACAGAGTTTCTTCAAAGGGATGGAAACCCGCCATCAAGGGAATGTAAACTTCTGCAGTAATGGTGACCCACCATATCTTAATGTCTGCCATATAGTCAAGCCCGGTCCATTCACACCAGTTACCTAAGGAATGGCAGGCAGTGGAAACTAAACCATCATTTACTTTTTAAATTTTCCTCTGCAAATTGCAGGTCCTTGCTTCTTTGTGCTTAATCCCAGATCCCCATTGGCAAGCTCTCTGGTGTAATCTCCCAGAACAGCTGGGCTCTGATTGCCTTGTCAATTATTAAATGCCCATGTTCCCTGTAAGGCAGCATTTAATCATGAGGTACTCCAAATGAGATATGAGATAGAAGGGGAGAGTGGGAGGAGAGGGAGGAGGGTGGGAAGACAGTTTGCATTCTTGCAACAGTAAACCAAAGGGACTTGGAGGGCAGATGGCATCCTTCGGTTCTTCCAGACAAGCTGCAAGACGCTGACCATGGCCAAGGTAACCGGCTTCCTTTCTTATTGCTCAAGAGATGCAGTCTACAGCTATTTTGTACCTGGTTCTTTTAAGAAGTGCACCTGCCTCATCGATCTGTTGTCCTTCCTAGCCTATGCTAATTCTGGGTTACTCTGTGTTAATATATGTCGATGGAAGTGTTACTGATGACACATTGGTGCCTACGCACTTCCTAATGATCTAAGGCCCTGAGTGTTAGAGAAACCACTCTGTCCCTTTTCTAGAGAGTAAAGAGTTACCTTGGCATGGGATCTGTCGTGTACACAAAGATAGAGTTGTTCTTATGGCCATTACTTCCTCAGGATCACTTTATGGAAACCATTGCAAAATTAGATTTGTTCTTCCAATTCAAGAGGTATCTGGATCCTAGCAGGAAAAGGCATGTTTGAGGAAAGGAGTAAAGTATGTGACAAAGGGCAAGGTACGATAAGCGTTGAAGATAATTCTTAGAAAGTCTCAAGTGAGATTATCATTCGATATCAAGAAGATGATTATTGAATGAGGTTCTTGTATCTCTCCCTGGGGACACTCCTTCTGGAAGAAACCTCTTTGAGCTCCAGTCTAAGCTCTTTTTTATTCTTCAAATTGCCTCTTCCATAAATTGGTTGTCACCTTGGTGCCACAAAGTGGGTGTGCCTTGGTATGGGGTTCATTATTTTTTCTTATTTCTGAATAACCCAGAGAAGAACTTGCAAATATATATGACTTGAAGTGGATTGAATGTCGAGTTAAAATCTTGCAAGCATAACTTGAAATGGATTGAGTGTGAAATTAAAATCTGATGTGACAGTAGGCAAATTTCCAACCAGACTGAAAATAGTTGTTGAAAAATGAACGCTGAGGTTGCAAAATTTAGAATGGCCTAAGTCTTTCAGTCTGTCTTTACACAGAATGATTCGTGAAGATGTTTTACCTGGAAGTCCATTTCTTATTCAAGCAATGTAAGAATTATTAGAAAGGATGACTCACAGTAAGAGAATGATGACTAAAACCAGTAGGATTTTCATAACTAAAACCAAGATGAAAACATTTTAGGAAAGGGGAACCGGGCAATATACGACTTCAGTATCTGGCCAGAGAAAATCTTTCCTTCTTCCAGATGCTGCAGTATTTTTGTCCTTAGTCAAGGTCACCCAGAGTCTTGCAAGAACTGACAATTCTTGACAGTTAATTTGTTGAGTACTTTTAAAAGTAAAATCACATTAGCAGATTGCTTTCCAGAAGTTGTCTTTATCATGTTTTGTATATTGGTTGTTATATATATATGATCTTTGTGTATTTCTTATTACCATAAATAATATACACTTTGTTTGAAATATGCGCTGTCATAGTCCTTGGAAACTCTGAAGAACAAACTGTTATATTTCTAAGGTAAAGTTCTCTGTTAAATGTAGAAACATAAAGCTGGGGGTGATAAGGGAGGGAAATTTATGGGCCTGTCCATTTAGCTACGGTTTTATTTATGGCTCTTAAGCTAAGCAGATTTAAGTCTGATTAATTCTGATATGAAGGATCCCCTGGAAAGCTCAAGAAGGTTTACTTTAAGAAGCGTTTGTCAGCAACTAAGCATGGGCTTCTTTCCTGTTCAGTGTGCGTTAATGTAACTGTATAAACTGCTCTAACACAAAGTGAGAGACTTGCCAAATTACTTTTCTAAGTCAAATTAAATCTGGCTCCAAGCCACCACTCAACAGAGTTGGCAGTCTAATACTAGTCATATTTTAGCTTGCCCTCCTCTTCTCTTAGGCTGAAAATGACACACAGATTAGGGGCTCCAGCCAGAGCCACCCAGGGTCTCAGTTTTTTCAGCAGCCTCCCCCATGTCCCCACTGTGAGGCAGGCACTTACACACCAGGCTGGAAGACACAGCCCTCCAGGTTCCTCTCCACCAACCAAGGGCTTGGCTGCCTACCCATGGCTGTGTGGACACCATACCTGGTGTCCAGCCTACACGGGCACCACACAGCCACCTCGCATTTGAAATTCTATTATCTCTGTGGCAGTGGTTGGAAGCTGGGCCTGACTGCTACCTCTCCCAGAACCATAAGCCCCATCTCCTCACCAAGGGGTTCAATAGTCCCACATCCCAGTAGGTTCACTGTCCTCTTTAATCCTCCAGGCCCCAAAGCATCCATCTGCTTCCCCCGGAGGTTTCCAGTTTAATATTCATTGCTATGACTCCTTTCAGAAGAATCTATAATGCAGGGAAGAGGACACCAATAACTCACATTGCTACAAAAGCAAATGCCTCAGCAAGTCAGTGCTACTACCTGTCAGTGGAGACAAAGCCAAAAACAATTACCACAAAGGACATTTGGAATGATCCCAATTCTTTTTCTATGCTTTTACGAAGTTTAAACTTTATGCAAAACTTTTCCAAAAGTTATCAACTGCCTTGTCAATTAATTATATAATTATGTGTTTATATTTTATATTTCTATATTAATTATACATTTTTATATAAAGTTAAAACTTTATATAAACTATTAAGTTTCTGCAACCTCTGAGGTTATTGCTATCTGATGCTTATTCAGAACATCCTCAATTTACTGAGCAATTTAGTATTGAGTATCTAATGTGTAAAACACTGTGCTAGTTGCTATGGGAAAGATAAAAATCACAGACACATTTGCTACCTAATGGCAAATGTGAAAAGGGTACCATTAAGAAGGTATACACCAGCGTCCTTGAAGCCGGTCCAAGCCTCACTTCCCACAGAAGGTGCAGGTTAGGGGGCCTCCCTGAAGCATCTGGGACTTGGGGTGAGCCTCAGAGGGGCAGGACTTTAGTAGACAGTGCCTGGCCAGCAGTAGTGTCAATATTTGCAGCAATCTGCCTTCACTGTTTCTTGCTGGTCCAAGAACTAAAGGTAGTGGCTGCTGGCAGATCCATCACTGCTACTCAGAATGATCCTCCTGCTCTTCTTTGTTGGTGGGGTCATTATGGCACTCACCATAAAGGTACACACACGCACATACATCCTCCCTAGGATTTGTCAGCTGGAGGCTATGTTGATTCCATTCTCACCGTTTGAGGCAGAAGTGAAAGATTTTAACATGTTCACATCCAATTCACTCTGACTTTTGCATCCCTCATTCTAATTTGTCCTCTCTGATGGATCGCCTTTATCCTACTTTGTGTATTGCTGCATATCCTGCCCAGCGTCAAGCCCTGTCAATCTATGCAGACCACTGCTTTTCTGTAGTTATATCTGTGTAAGCTTCAACTTGAAGAAGTATCATCCCTGTGGTTGTAGAGGCCAGGGGAAATCTTTCATTTGCCCTCTGAAGTTTCACTGAAAATCAGAAACAAGAGGCCGATTAATAGGAGAAAAAACATACAAGTTTATTTGATCATAGTTTCACGTGACATGAGAACCTTCAGAATGAAGACCCAAAGATGCAGGGGAATTGTCTGGTTTTGTGCTTAGGTCCAACAGAGTATGGACAGTCACATAGAAATATGATTGGACTTAAAGGGTACGATCCACTGTTTTTCTTTTTTTAATTATTTTTATTTATTTTTTAGAGACAAGCAGCTCTGTTGTCCAGGTTGGAGTGCAGTGGCATGATCATGGCTCACTGCAGCCTCGACCTCCTGGGCTCAGGTGATTCTTCCACCTGAGCCTCAAAAGTAGCTGGGACTACAGGCATGTACCACCATGCCTGGCTAATTTTTTTTATTTTTCGCGGAGACAGGGTCTCACTGTGATTCCCAGGCTAGTCATGAATTACTGAACTCAAGTGATCCTCCCACCTCCAGGAGGGATTACGGCGCTAGGATTACAGGTGTGAGCCACTGCATCTAATAACAGATCTAATTATTATTAGATCTAATAACGTTAATAGACTGAGTGAGGAAACCCAGCAAGGCCTGTCTGTCTAGATTCTTCTTGGCCTCTCTGAGCATGCAGGACCCTCTCTAGGATGGGAGTCTTTTGACCTACAGTCAAACAATCGAGGTCAGATCACTTCTTTAGGGCCAGTTTATATACAGAAAGGCAGGGGAAAGTTCAAGTAATATTTTTAGGTTTTACGGCTGGCTCTGGGGAAAGGGGCTCTGGGTTCTGTGACCCACCTTGAGGAAGAGAGATTCTTGTTTCTATAGCTAGCCTCGAAAGAGTCAGACTGAGGCAGAAGGACAGGAGAAGGTCAGAGACACCTGCTTCTGAGGCCCCCATTTTGGGATTTGGTTTCCTGAGACTCTCCAGGTGCTTGCTCCAGACCACTCCTGAAGCCAGGCTTCCATGCGGCCCCTGGAGAAAACTGTCAGAGGCGGGTTGTCTATCTGCCTTGGAGGAGTATGGCTTGAGCCCAGGAAGTGCAGGGAAGCATGGCCACATCTCCGACGGGGCTCTGAGTCAAGCTCCCTGCTCCTTTCCTTTCCACTTGTGCTTGTCTGTTACAGATGGAGCTCGCGAAGGCCTTCTCTAGCCAGCGGACACGCCTATCTGCCATCCTCAGCATGCTATCACTCAGCTTCTCGACAATATCCCTGTTCAGCAACTACTGGTTTGTGGGAACACAGAAGGTGCCCAAGCCCCTGTGCGAGAAAGATCTGGCAGCCAAGTGCTTTGACATGCCAGTGTCCCTGGATGGAGACGTCGCCAACACATCCACCCAGGAGGTGGTACAATACAACTGGGAGACTGGGGATGACCGCTTCTCCTTCCGGAGCTTCCGGAGTGGCATGTGGCTATCCTGTGAGGAAATTGTGGAAGAACCAGGTAGCCTACATTCTGGGATGGAAGAGCAACGGGGTCAGGGTGGGCAAGGGATCTAATGCAGGCATGGAAACCACGTAGGCCCACCTGTTGCTGGGGCTGCCCTGGGAAGCGCAGCACTGCCACACCCTAGTGGGCCTCACCCTCCTCCCAGCACAGAACCTTCCACCTCTGTCTAGTGCCCTTTCATGAAGTTGAAAATCCTCTGGCTTTTCACTTCCTCCCTCTCTAGTAGACTTGTTGGTTCAAAATAGCATGTTAAAAATAGAATTAACTGGCCAGGTGTGGCGGTTCACACCTGTAATCCCAGCAATTTGGGAGGCTGAGGTGGGCAGACCACGAGGTCAGGAGATCAAGACCATCCTGGCTAACAGGGTGAAACCCCATCTCTACTAAAAATACAAAAAATTAGCCAGGTGTGGTGGCGTGCACCTGTAGTCCCAGCTACTTGGAAGGCTGAGGCAGGAGAATCGCTTGAACCTGGGAGGTGGAGGTTACAGTGAGCCGAGATCGCACCACTGCATTCCAGCCTGAGTGACAAAGTGAGACTCCATCTTGAAAAAAAAATAGAATTAACCTTAAAAGTTTCATTTAGACCTTTCCCATTATGAGGCTTTCCAGTCTAGTGAGCTAGAATTGCTGTTTAAAAACAATACGAAGGGACAGGAATATTGTAGGAAAGCTCTAGCTCTGCTCAACTGTGACCTCATACAAAGAACTTCATTTCTATATGCCTTGATTTGTTCATTTATGCGATGAAAGCATCACAGTTGATCATCTTTACAGCCTCTTCCTGGCCCGAAAGTGTTTTCTCATTCTAAGTATTACTACTACCATTTAAAAGAAGGGGAAACGAAGCCAGCCAGGGTGGTAACTAAATCATTTAAGGAAGCCTTCGAGGAGCTGAAGGCAGATCTGCCAGGTCCCCGGCCCCTCAGTGCTCACTAGCAAAGCAGGCAGGTGCTGGCCCGTGTGTGTTCCTGAGGTTTGCAGGAATGAGCTGAAGATACTTCCTCCTCCCTGCCCAGAGTACTGAAAGGTGACTCTGTGGCCTGGGAAGAAAGCACCTGATAGTGAAGTTTTTCTAATGCCCAGAATTATGAACCATTTGTTATCTGCCACTTCTCCCTATTTGAGCTAAAAGGGAGATGGAAGAGGAATTTTTTAAAAGTGTGTATTTACATTTGTATTTGTTATTGTACCACTTAGCACTGCTCCATCCCCAGTCCTGGAAATACTTTAGAGCCCTTCGGTCCAGTGGTACAGCAGCAGCAAAAGGTATTAAGCAAAAGTTACACTAAGATCATTAACTCTTCTGGACATGGGAAATGGGAACATTAACCTATGTAGGCGCTCTCAGGGAAACATCTTCTGCATTATCAGAGATTGAAGAGAGAGAAATTAGTCTCTCTGGGCTGACTCTTGGCTTTGCCATTCATTCACCCAGGCATTCTTTCCTGCTTTCCTGCTCTATGCGGGGCAGGTGCTGTCAGAGCAGAGGGAGCAGCGCCCGGTATGGGGTGGGGAAGGCTTTTATCCAAACCATCCCAGGCAGCAGCTCCGCGATGTTGTACCTCCTATGTTTCAGGGGAGAGGTGCCGAAGTTTCATTGAACTCACACCACCAACCGAGAGAGGTGAGAAAGGACTACTGGAATTTGCCACGTTGCAAGGCCCATGTCACCCCACTTTCCGATTTGGAGGGAAGCGGTTGATGGAGAAGGCTTCCCTCCCCTACCTTCCCTTGGGGCTTTGTGGCAAGTATGTGTCTGATAAGGAATTTACAGTAGTTTCCGTAGACTTGGGCCTCTCTGGATCTAAACTGCACTGTGATCTTCTGCTTTTCTCTTCTGAGCCCCACAGGGTGACACAAATTCCCCTTTGAGCTAACTGTCATTCATATGCAGGGAGGCAAAAACAGAACAGCAGGGATAAGTAAGATTCACAAACAGAAAGCCACCAACAGCGCTAACCTACTCCTGCTGCCAAGTAACCATGTAGGAAGGCTTAGGTTTTTCCTCCTTTTCCCCCGATGACGATGATGATTGTAAAATGAAAGGAAAGGAGTGAAGAAGGGAGGGAGGGAGGGAACCATCCCAAATTAAATGAGGAAAAAGAGAGACAAAATAACTAGAGTAACATTATATCCCTGCAGGATTTATGAAAATTTGATGATTTCTTCTCAAATCTCCCTAACAGTATTTACAGTCAGTCAAGCTTACTTGAGTATATATTGGTTATGGACTGCGAGCTGTGAGTGATGTCAAAGAACTGGAATGAAATAATGTTCCTCACTGGTTTCCGCTGTGCCTCATTTTCCCCTTCTCGGATGCTGCTAGGATCTTAACTCCTACTAGACGTCCTATCCTCACTACTTGTTCAGTTTTTTAACCGTCAGGGTGAGCGCTCCTCTTCCTCTGGTTTCTGGCAGAAATCCTTTGGTTATCCCTGGGAACGCAGATCACCTACATCGGACTTCAATTCATCAGCTTCCTCCTGCTACTAACGGACTTGCTACTCACTGGGAACCCTGCCTGCGGGCTCAAACTGAGCGCCTTTGCTGCTGTTTCCTCTGTCCTGTCAGGTGAGTTGCTCCTGGAGTGGGAGAAGGTGGTTGGCCCTGGCCACCTCTGAAACCCTGGCTGGAGGGCATGAGTCTTTGCCCAGAAGGAGCCCAAAGGCAGTATAAAGAATGGAGATAGTAGGCATCTTCAATTTTTTTTTTCTTTGGAGTTTCGCTCTTGTTGCCCAGGCTAGAGTACAATGGTGCAATCTCGGTTCACCACAACCTCTGCCTCCTGGGTTCAAGCGATTCTCCTGCCTCAGCCTCCCGAGTAGCTGGGATTACAGGCATGCACCACCATACTCGGCTAATTTTTGTATTTTTAATAGAGACGGGGTTTCACCACATTGGTCAGGCTGGTCACAAACTTCTGACCTCATGATCTGCCCGCCTCAGCCTCCCAAAGTGCTGGAATTACACGCGTGAGCCACCATGCCCAGCCCTGGCATCTTTAATTTTAAAGTGAAGTGACACATGAAATTGCATTTTGGATCACCATGTGCCTTACAAAATGATTTACCTGTGTTCCTTTATTTGCAAGCTTTCTCAATATGTACAGTCTATTGTTTGGGTTACTTTTCAGTTGTGACACACATACAGCATTTCAAGACCAGTCTCCATTGGTTAAAGTGACAGATGCATATATAAGATGAATAATTAAGCCAACATTGGGGTTTGGGTAGGAAGGAGTAAGGATGGGGTGCAGTGGCCTTGGGTGCAGCATTGACTCAGAGACTTTTTCCACAGCTTTCAGCCTCCTATTACAAATATGTGCATTTAAGGAGAAGCCCCCATTGTGGATTAGTCTTCGGGAAATGTGGTGGCATAGGGTAATGGGCTACTCCAACAGAGGCTGCGCCTGACCACAAAAGGAGAAGGATCCTCCAAAATCGTACACCTGACAGATGGCATGAAAGCCTTTCTCTAAGGGCTCTACCTTCCTGTTTCCTCCTTAGGTCTCTTAGGAATGGTGGCCCACATGATGTATTCACAAGTCTTCCAGGCAACTGCCAACTTGGGTCCAGAAGACTGGAGACCACATGTTTGGAATTATGGCTGGGCCTTCTAGTAAGTGCTGTCATCTCCTGAACCTCTGTAGCCCTTGTCCAGCCAACCTTCATGAGATTTTCTACCCTCAGCTAGATGCTTATCGGGTGTCGCCCTGCCTTCTCCTCATCCCGCACCGCAGGAGTCTGTCGACCACACACACAGGGCTGCATCATCAGGTTACATCCATTCTTCCCTGCCTTCTGAGAGGGTACAGGGAGGACTCCTCGGGTTTGTCTTGGGAGGATGTGGTTTTGTCCAGTTTTCCTGCTCATCAGCTGTGGCAGTTGCCTCTTCATCTGGTATATACATCACCCCAGGGAAACAAGACTGATTTTGTAGGCCTTATGGAAATGCTGTATTTTTAAAATAGAATTCAAGGTGTTGGAGGACATTTGGAATTGGAGGAAATTGAAATTTGGATTGAACTGCACTCTCTGTCAATGGCTTGCTCCTCTCCTCTTCACTTCCTCCTGTACCTGTTCTTATTCTGTCGAACTGTGTTGGAAATAAAACTTCACTATCACAGTCATTCTCCAACCCTTAAAGAACTAAGGGGTCATTTTAGATTTCTCTTAAAAAGAGCGACAGCAACCATCACAAAGCAACACATTCAAATTAAATATTATCGTTGAAAGCTCTTTACTTTCTCCCTTGAGGAGCACTCTTTATTCACGGCAAGTTGCCGACCTGTACTGATATTTACTGCCGAGATAAGTGCTAAGTACTGTGAGCGCACTGAAAAGACACAGTGATGGGCTCAAGTTTCCATTCAGAGAAGGAAGCCTGCACATCTGTTGTGAGGCCCTATCCACTTTCCTGTGGTACAATCTTGTGCTATTGATTTGGCAGTCTTGAGTCTACTCCACCAGCCAGGGCATCAGCTCAGCGCAGTTCCCAGATCCAGCATTTCTCACCTTTTGACTGTCTTCAGGCCGTTCTTGGCATTACAGCTGTAGAGCTCAGGCTAGGCAACACCCATCAATCAACTCCCAGAAGCATCCCAGACTGAACCTACTGCATTTGTCAGAGGCAGCAGATATGAACACAGAGTGCTTGCATATGGCCTGGCTTTAACCATCACTTGTCCTCATGAAGTCCCTCCCTAACCTCTCAAAATTTCCTGTTTCCTGAGCTTCCCAGAACCACAGGGAGATTTAGAGATCTGACTTTCCAAGTTTTCCAGAATGTGTTTAATATGGTTCTCTAGTGTCTGCTTTTACTTCCTTGAATCCATCCAGATTCTCTTAATCTCCAGCTCCTGTCCCATCCATTACGAACTCCCTTAAGCCAAAACCACAGTTTTCATATGAAGCAAATTCCACTAGTACAACCTATAATACCTCCCAATTTGTAGTAAATGTTTTCCTGAATGACTCTTAGACGCTCAACTTTGTGGACCCTTGACCCTAAGACTGCTATGTTCAAAACAAAGGAAGATGGAAGAGGGATAATTCCTCCCAGTATCCGAGTGGGGGGCAGCTTTGGCAGGGCGTGTGTGTGTATGTGTGTGTGTGTGTTTATGTGTTGGGGTGGGAAAGTGAGGGCATACAGCAGGTTATATCCACTGCATACAGCATAGCTACAGGCCTGGGGAATCTTAAGAGATTTTATAAGGGTCAGTGCAGCTTGGGAAATAGGAGTCTAAATAAACACACACACCACACACACACACACACACACACACACACACACACACACACATAATAGGCACATCAGATAGAAAAGGGCGTGGCACCAACAACTCATCAATTCAATGAAAACAAATATCCATTAAGCTTCTTGTCTGACATTAGGACTACATGAGTCATTCTCTTTTCAGAAAGCAGTAAGTTCTCTCCTCACAGTGCTTTACATGGTGGGAATTCCCTAAATTCCTACAAGGCATTAGGCTAGTCCACTAATAGGTAGAGGTCATGACATTTTTCTCTCAAGAGAGTCCTATTCTGACTTTGTGCCATTTGTCCCTAGCATGGCCTGGCTTTCCTTCACCTGCTGCATGGCGTCGGCTGTCACCACCTTCAACACGTACACCAGGATGGTGCTGGAGTTCAAGAGCAAGCACAGTAAGAGCTTCAAGGAAAACCCGAACTGCCTACCGCACCACCACCAGTGTTTCCCTCGGCGGCTGTCATGTGCAGCCCCCACCGTGGGTCCTTTGACCGGCTACCACCAGTATCATAATCAGCCCATCCACTCTGTCTCTGAAGGAGTAGACTTCTACTCGGAGTTGCGGAACAAGGGATTTCCACGAGGGGCCAGCCAGGAGCTGAAAGAAGCAGTTAGGTCATCTGTAGAGGAAGAGCAGTGTTAGGAGTTAAGTGGGTTTGGGAAGTAGGCTTGAGCCCCACCTTACATGTCTACTGATTATCAACATGTGCTTAAGCCAAAGTCTGTCTCTTGAGCATGGTTTTTAGAGGCTATAAATAAGGGTTATCTTTAAGTCCTATGGGATGCTTGGGTGCCCCTGCTGTCTTTTCCTCTACAGCTCGTTTCATCCACCCTGTATCTCACGCATCCAGAATTCCCTCCTCTCCTATACTGATAGCTTCTGCGCCAGGTTCTGGGCTAAGCCATGGAGATAAAAGAGGGGTAAGAATACACTTCTTGACCTTAAAGGTCTGATAAATCTAGTTATCCCCCTGGAAATTGAAGAAATGGAGATGACCAAGTTAACAGTAGCGTGACTGTGGCTCAGCTTTCCATGGTACACAGGAATTGTTCTGGAAGTCACAGACAGGAAGACAGAAGCACCCCTGAGTGCTTTCCCATGTCGCAGAGATTTTCCACACTGCCTGGGGCAGTGTCCTGCATCCACACAGTAGGTACCCAGTAAAAGTGTTACTAAATATTGTCCCAGGACCCCTTAGGAGAGTGGTTTAACACAAGAAAACACCAACAACACACAGGGTCAAGGTCACTTCTAGAAACAGCCTACCAAGGCTATTCAGATGGGACTGTGGTTCCCTACTGGAGAGTCATACCAGGGACTTCCCAGTGAACAAGGGGGCACAGGCTCCTCTCTGGATCCCACCTTTTCATCCCTTCTATTTCCTCCATGAAGAATGCCACACATCTACTTGCCCGTTCTCTTTTCCATATGGGGAAACAAACCATCCTTGATGGCTAAGAAGAATGAGAATGGTACACAAGCATATTCCCGTAGAGTATGTATTTATTTACTCTGTAACAGTTCACATTTTAAATAGTGCTTCCTGACAATATACCAGCTGGCTCTTCTTTAATAAGGGCAATAAGGATAGCAATTCACATTCAGGGGGATTAGTTTCACCATACCACACATTTGGGGGATGGTAAAAACGGGGTCTAAGGAAAAGGGAGGGTTTTTAAGGGAAGGAAGAGGGGAAGACCCTGGCATTTGCAGAAGTCATTACTATTTCTCAGTAGTGGTCATATTGGCTTTGCCGGCAACCCCATGATAAGATTAGAGAAAGAAAGGAGTATTTCCTATTTTAGACACCCGGGTAGGTGGCTGCCTGCAAGGAGAAGAAGGTTTAGGGACACATTTCACAAGAAACCAGCACCCACATTGGTCAGATGCAGCTTCCTCAATTTTCAGCCACCACTTATACCTTTCTGTACCAGCTGCAAGAGGAAGAAGAAAACTAAGCTTATAATGTTGTTTGGCAAGGAGAGATTCAAACTTATTGTAGTCAAAAGAATCTATGTCAAGTTAGTTTGCAAATACACCATGAAGAATTCAGGGACATTATGTTTTTCTAGCTTCCTCTCATCTCTTTCTGGTATTTACTCTGTATAAACACAGTCCTCTGCCCACACAATCCCACCAAAACAGGTCCTCAGTAAACAACTTCACGTTTCACTCCTGCATAGAGTGGCTGGCTTCCCAGAAAGCCTTAACATGACAAAGAACCAGATTATGCCTGGACAGCCCAGCCCGACCACAGGACCACCATCCAAGTTTTGGGTGTTCAGCTGCCTATAAATTAATCCTTAAAATTCTACACTAAACCAAACTAAGTCCCAGGCCCTTATACTCAAGTGGATTCAAATCCTCGAAATTATCTGGAATCATTCCCATACTCTAGTGTATCTTCTTTATCCCCCAAAGTCAAGCTGGAACCACAAGATGACTTCCAAACTGTTAAAACCAAATTTGCCTTCAGGATCTTAAGGCAGAGGCACCCAGAAACCTATTAAGGCCAATCTGCAGCCCAGGCAACACGCCTGTTGGATCTATTGCTACCAACCTCCTGTTATGTCATAATGCCTGTCAGTGGGTAATTAACAGATATCCCTTTAAATCTCAACTTCATAATTTTCTAGAATCCCTTTTCTAACACAGGTTAAAAGATACAAGCCCGCCCAGGTACAATGGCTCACATCTGTAATCCCAGCATTTTGGGAGGCCCAGGCCAGATCATCTGAGGTCAAGAGTTCGTGATCAGCCTGGCCAACATGATGAAACCCTGTCTCTACTAACAATACAAAAAAAAAAAAAAATTAGCCCACCATGGTGGCAGATGCCTATAGTCCCAGCTACTCAGGAGGCTGAAGCTGGAGAATCGCTTGAACCCAGGAGGCGGAGGCTGCAGTGAGCCGAGATCATGCCATCGCACTCCAGCCTGACAGACAAGAGCAAAAGTCCGTCTCAAAAAAAAAAAAAAAAAAAAAAAGATACAAGCCCAGGTAAAGAGAGAACCTGAGTTGCACGGAGGGATGACCTATCAGGTTATTTAAGAAGCAGTTTTCTACCTGTTAACATTGAATTTTCTGCTATATAAACATGACCTAAAAGTTCAGAGGAGAACTTAATTGACGTAACAGATTTATACAGAAGAAGGGAGAAGTAAGCACTGGAGAGAATTCTAAATAACCATTTATAAAAGTTACAGTATTTACAGAAGAATTTTCCCAAAATACAATGCTTCAAAGGCTCTACAGGAAAGGAGAGATGCAGGACAAAACGGCTGTATCCTGGACTCAAGTGGCAGAAGCAAAAGTCCAGAAACATATCCCTGAATAGAAGAGAAAGCAGAGTGAGAGGTGCTATGGAGGATGCCCTATAGAAAAAGATGCAGAGAAGAGATACAGCAGGATAAGGACATCAAAGCCTCCTGACTTCCAGTTCTCCTCTAAGTTGAAGACAGCATGCACACATACGCTTCCGATGTAGCCACAGAAAAAAGACTGTGACTAGCAGAACTATCAGACCCACATATCACACAACATACGGACTTGGTCAGAGGTGGGTCACTGAGACTACATCCTCTCGCTCCCCTTGTGATAGGAATATGGTTATTCTTGCGGCCACTTCATAGACACTGGATGGAAAAATCTAAGGAAACAGGATATTAAAAGAGGTGAAAATGCTGTGAAGGGTAACTCAGTCTTCCACTACAAGTCTTTCTCACTCTGTCTACAGTGTGGAAGTAGCTAAGGTACAGGTGGGAAAGAATAAGGAGAGAAGTAAGTGGCCCTCAAAATCAGAGGTAGGGCATCTAGAAGTCTCAAAGTGACCAAACAAACCAGAAACTGGATCCCTGAAGCTTAGGATATTATCTGGAAAAGAACTTCACCATAACACTGAAAAATACACACACGGCATAATATACAACAAAATGTTTCCTAATCATAGACTTCACTGGCTTTCCCAGCAAGAGTTCATAAATTAGACATACCAAAAAAATAAAATACTTAAGAGATTCACATTTTCCAAACGGTCCACGCAGAGCTCCTAGAGGGGGTTAATGCAGGAACTGAAAAGGTAGGTAAGACGCCCCAGCCAAATAGATCATGCTGTTGTCAAAGTACTCCATCATGCCTTCCCAAGTGCTTTACGACCATCAGGGAGGTGGTAAAATGAGGATGAAGAAGTCCTCTCTCCACAGAACAGATTTTACAGTGACAGGAGAGTAGAAAGGATATCCACTCTGTTCACTTCTTCTGCAACTGAAGATTCCATCAGATTAGATCTATGGAAAAAGAGTTAGGAGTGACTTTATTGTTTTTCATGGTAGAGATGTTAAAAGAAAAGGAGGAAAACGAAAGGTCAGAATATTCCTCTATTTTCCTGCCCTTTTCTTTAGCCCCAGTAGCCTGTAAACATCTCCTCCCTCCAGAAGGGCCCAGAAACATTGTCCTTTTCCATGATAAGCTTTGAACTTTGAACTAGACTATAGTATTTCTTGGGAGTAGGGGTGGGGAGAGAACATTAGCATTTGAGCAAGATGATTCTCTGGAGTATGTGACTGCTGCAAGCCCTGCATGATGTCAGCATCACTAGCCCCAATCCAGAATATACCAGTCGTATCCACCCCTGTCAGTCATTGGGACAATAAAAACCATGACCCCACATTGTCAAATGTCCCCTATGGAAGATGCTATTATTTCCAGCTGAGAACAACTGAGAACCATTTCTTCATGGTCAGAAGGCATCCATAGGAAATAAGTGTTGGTCCAAAACAACTGTCTTGATACTCATCTATTCAAGAAAGCTCCCCATTCTCCCTCCTTTGTAAAGGACAAAGCTGGAATTGGTAGTATTTGTCCTAAACCCTCAAGAGTAACAACATTTCAGCAGCCACTCACCTCGTAGGGAGCTTCAACAAACTTGATCCTAGAGAGAAATCTTCGCAGCTCCCCACGGCCAATTTTGGGGGTGGACTCCTGTAGCTGGGCCATCTGGCCCTCCATCAGTGCCCACCGTAGACTAAGCTTGCTGACCACCAGGGCTGCTGGATGGCCTTCGGAGCTTGGCCCTGTTGTCCTGGTAACATAAAAGGCATCTTTCCAGAGGTCGTTAATTCCAACTGAGGAAGGACAAAAACAAGAGCAGTTAACAAGGACATATACTGTCTACTAACAGGAGAGGGGTTTGGCTCAACAACACATTTATTTACTCATTAGTTCACACTGGATAAACAGAAGGCAGTGAGCCAGCCCACGGGTACAAAGAGGGGAAGAACTGGGTGCCGGTAAAGCAGCATGCTCTTCCTGGTCTTGCACCTTTACTCCTCTGAAGCTTTTTCCAAAAAAGCCCACCTTGGGAACCGAGAGAATCTGCCCCCTATGGCGAGAATTGAGGAGAAAAGTGAGCCTGAAACCCTAGGGAGCCTGAGAATTCCCAAACTGCCAGTGCATGGTCACAGAAGCGGTTTACCTTGCCAATGTTTATTTTGCCTCATGGTTAAAATACAAGTTGTAATAAAAATGGTGTCCAGATTCTTAATTACAATTATTTAATGTTCACTGAATATTTTATGCTGCTGTTGAAAAAAAGAAACAGCTGACTCAGATCCAATCACAAGATTTTCCAAGCTCATACACAGCTCCTACCCCCAACCCCACCACCAGTGGACAGGTGTGCCTGCAAGTTCCAGGTACGCTGTTCTTCCCCATGTATTCCAATAAATCGAGAGCTACAAGCACCAGCTGCAGCCCAAGACCACTGAGTTTGTAAGTAGACAGCCAAGTCCATAATTAGCAAGAGAATGTGGAAAGAATGAAAGGAGATGTGGCCATCTGGTCTTTTCCCACTCCTGCACTCCCTGACCTGCCAACAGGAACAGCAGGCTCCACGAGGCAAAGAATCGCTGAGAAGGAGATTACCAGACAACCTAGACCAGCAGGCAGCAGAGGCTGCGATCCCAATGCTTTGGTTTCCTCAGTGGAGGGTCTCCCATATAGGATCCCACTTTGTTTACAGTGTTATTTGGACAGACATGTGAAGTAGAACACTTCCAAAGTGGTAATCGTGGTTATGACTGGCCAGATTATAGCCAGTTTTCTTTCTTCCTTTGATTTTTCCCCTTTCTCCAATTACTATGCAATGTTCATAATTACTATGCAAAAAAAAAAGGTTTTCACTAAATCAATGCCCTGGCAAAACACATTCTATCTCCATCGTGTCCTCCACAGATAATTCCAAATCCTAATCTCCAAGAGGGTCAGGAAACTAGTCTTATTTGTAGTCCCAGCACCTGGCACAGTGCCTGGCATACAGCTGATGCTCAATTAATGTCTGCTGAAGGAGTGGCTGCATGAATCATCACCTTACCCTTTGGAATGGGACGCACTTTCACCTCCACATTCAG